CAAAAGGGGTGTCCTCCCTGGGCAAAAGCGACGTTCTGGACGTGCCAACGCAGTCCGTTTCGTCATCAGGGGTCGCTCGGACGACGTCGTCGACAATCGGGTCAAAACGCGCCGAAATTCAAATTTCACAAAATCTCGATCCGCGGTCGATCGGATACGTCGACTCTCCGATATGCGAAGTTTATGCGTGCGAGAGTGCGAATTGTGCAGAAGGCCACCCTAAGGCTCAAAAGGTCCTACAGGGATCCCTTTTGGGTTCCTCATGTCGGTTTCATCATTTTAAGTGTTAGAAGTCAATACCACACACGCGAAACCACAAAAGAATACAGAAGCGGGTTGAATTTCTAGAACAAGGCGGGTCCCATTTCTAAGGTTCTAAGATAGTCGAAGGGAGGTCCCTAAGGCTAGATCCTAAATCCTAAGAGAAAGATTAGACCTCACTAAAAATGAGGTCAACAGTACCTTCCAAAAATAACTGACGCCAATCGCGATCAGGACGGAGAGATGTGCAGAGATTTCTTTGACTTGTAATGAGAAATCATAATGATTGAGGAAGTTTGAGGAGGAGAATACAAACAAGGATGCTAACGTGGTGGAATGATGTACAAGGGATAACTAAAGATTTGTTAGGTGACATTGAAGAGGAAGCAGATGTCAGCTAATTGATAAGCTTCAATGGATAGGGATGTTGTGACAAAGAACTTCAAGAGAGGTGATATGCAGTTTGCTCGATGGATAGGAGATGCTGAGAACAGAAAGAATATGCTTGTGCAGATGAGCAGTTGAGTTCCAGGGAATAACTTCGAAGAAAGTGGAAAGCTTGGGAGAAAGTGCAAAAATAGATTGGGGCTTCAACAACATTAAGAGTTTTACACAAGGTAAACTGAAGAGCTACGATCCTCCATTGGTTATAGCTGGATTACCACTTCACAGTGGAGAAAAATATATAAGATATAAAATAGGAACATATTCTAAAGAAGCTATGCTGAATTTAAGCAAAAGCATAATATTAAACAATAAAATTACATAAAATTTTGGAGAGATTCATGGCTTGAATTTCGGTGTATATTTATAAAAATGTACCTAATTTACTGCTTTCACATTCAAACAGGTTCTTTTTCAACAAAGTGGCTCCAGGAAATATCATCAGGTTGATACCACATAGTTTCTTCTTATCATCATCATTGATGTATTGGAATCCAAAAGTTGATGTCCAAGTCTCTACTAGGCTTGGAATGGCTGATAAAACCAACATTTCTACCTTCAATGATTTCAGCATCTACAATAAAAAAAAATGTCAGGCTGCGTAGTTAAACATATGGAATGTTAGCAAGATAAAGCTGAAGAACAAACCCCACACTGTAACTACAAAATAGCATCAAATTAGTATTAGGAGTCCATTTTTGTTCAGACAAAGATAAAAGATGAATGTCATGCAAACCCATAATATAATAAATGAAGAGCCCACACCACAAATCATAAAATAAAATAAAATATAAAAACCTGAACTAATCAAGATTGTGCAGTCAGAGATGAAAGAATGTAACACATGGCTCACATGCACACAAAATACTAATAAAATACTAATATGAATTTTATGATCATGTGACTTTAGATTAAAAATGATGAAATGACAAGTGTGTAACACTCTTCATCCGATGTTAATCTGTTCAAATATTCTCAAAATTAAAACCATTGAAACTACCGAACATGATAAATTATATTCATGAACAACAGTTTTGTTGTAATAATAGAGAGTTAATGTACCAAACAATTTCTTCCATTAAGTGTTGAAGTTGGTTCTCGACTACTTCTCATAATCAAGCAGTTTCAATTATCATTCATTTGGTTAGATAAAACATGATAATAATTTTGCTCGACTTTTCTTCAAATATAAACATATAACCTCTCTTTCACCATGTGCTCTTATTGGTATGTATCTATGAATGCACATGTAGTGGATAGGTGCAAAAAAATGCATGAATGAGCATAAATAGATACATTCAGCATGCAAGCAAACAACTCATTAAACCGCTTGCACAGTAATTAACGAGCAAATTTGTGCCGTTTTCAGTGTCAAAAGCTTACATTTTCTGCTTGTATTGTGGTGGAACAAGACATGCATAGAGAAGGTATTCTGTTTGTGTTACATCAACTTGTAAAATAAAAAGTGTCCAAGTATACTTTTGTTCGCCAAAACTATTTTAATCTAAGGAAAACATGTCAACAATTAAACATAATTTGTTGATTAAACCAAAGCATTGAATTTTTTATGGTTATTATTATCATAAAATATTTAAAATCAAGAAAAATAGTTTCACAGTGGGACTATTTTATGTCTTCTATATTTTGACTCGAATAGTCAACTACAGGTGGATATCATTTTTATAGTCAGGATACAAATGGCATAATATAATAAAAAGTTACGGTGAGGAATAGATATCAACTTTTAAGCTGATAATGGAAAGACCACTCATCATAAATATGCAAACAGTTGTGTGACAATATTAAATATGTTTTACACCATTAAATAGAAATTGAGAGCAAAGCAAGAACCAGAGCTTGCACCAACCTCTTCAATCACATGCATAAGCCGTCGACACATTCCCGCCTGACGTTGCTCAATGCATGTTGTTATTAGAGGCAGCTCAGCCAAAGTGATTCCATGCACCCTGCATAAATTTGTGTCAAAGTACAATTGTTATGGCTGTAGCTTCCGACTACAAGAGAACTGATTAATATGATGAAACCTACCATAGAAACAAAATATGAGCACAACGCAAACCATAAATGCAATTAAGCCAATTATATTTCATATATTAACTGCTACACAATTAAAAAGTAAGTGATGGCCACATTAATAGAATGGAAATGACAATTAAAAAAGGATGTGCTAAGTTAAACAAATTAAGTAATGATTAGATCAGAAGAACAGAAAAGGCGGCATCCACTAAAGATAAGACTGCAGAAGGAGCATAATTGAGTTGAATGCATACAATGAAGGGATTGTTTAAGGTAGAATGTATAGAAATGGTGCTCAAAAGACTTATAAAGAATATATTTAACAGCTCATATAACACTCAACATAAATGAAATGAAGTAGTGCCTTCGGAAGACATTTCTCTCAACGAAAATGTGTTTGTGTAAAATATTTTTAAACATATTGATCTAATTAGGATCAAGTTGTCGGCCCTCTCATGGTTGCTCGGTCATTATCCAAGATTTATGAAAAAACTGAAGCAGATGTTTGCATAAATGCATAATTTTAGATGCAACCCCAAAATCACATTTCATCCAAACCTATACTCTAGCGCTAGCGATGGAATGTAATGTCACAGTGCCATCTTTCTTTGATGGCAGTCTTAATGGGCGATGAAAACTTTCTTTTTGAGTGAAATACTCCTAAACCATTTTGACTTTTGCACTTAAATATCGACAATTTGCAATGATCACATCCTATTTCATAAACTCATACCACCTAAGCGCTGACTTTCTTCTTTGGCAATTTGTTTTACATGCAGATTGAATATGGCATTAAAAGATAGATGAGGGTTTAAGAATAAAAAGTGGAAAAGATTGATGGATTTGTAGATTATTGAAAAGGTTGGATAGCTGCAAGAAGATGGAAGAGGGAATTAGCTCATTGAATGGAGTCCCTATGTCAAATTATTTTTTCCATGGTACAAGGTATGGTTTTTTGCCTGCTCTAAATTTTTTTATAAATTAAATAGTTAAAATAATTTTTGAACTTCTTATTTTATTATGTTTATTTAAGCACAAATTCATGATTATATTGATTAGTTGTGTTAAACACTAATTATTAAATCATTAGGTTGCATAACATATATTTAAAGGATGATTTGATGGAATGAAAAACATTACTTCACACATATTTCAAAGATCTCTAGAGGCATCTATAGAAGGGGTGATTCATAAGAACGGGTGATTCATAGGGGCATGCGGCACTCAAAAAGATAGCCCTAATGTTTAAAACAGGATATCCATACACAGTTGCTTAGTTCTTCTAAATGCATCATCGATTATACAAAGGTTGCAAGTACATTTCTAAAACCATAAGATTTTTTTCAATAGTTTTTTTTTTTTCATGTTGCAACCTATTCTAAGGTTAGTGTGTATGCATGTGCATATTCACTTCGCCATTTATATACATGAATACTCTTATACGATCAAATTTAAAATATGACAAGCAAAAAATTAGCATTTAAAATAAAAATATGATCATACGGTGTACATCATTCATATAGAGGTTACTATTTCATTTACAATCTCAAATTAAATCAAATATTTTACACAATCACAATACTTAAAAACATTACACAACTTCAAACATTTTAAGCTTGCACGTGGATATAATGGCTATTAATTGATTAAAAAGCACAAAATTAAACAAATATTACATGCTTGAAGAATCATGGTTCTAAGGAATATACACCTAAATTAAAGATATAAAAAATAAATGCCACACTAACTACCGCCTACCTTCTAGTCAAGGTTGAAAGTCATTTCAATGGATGATAAACGGGAAGTGATCAATGGCGCTACTCTAGGGAACTACAAGATTCCTTTGACCGTTACACACAAGACTTGTGGCAATATCCATCACAGTGCACTTCCCTGGCAATAAAATAAAGATACTTAAGAATACATACCATTTTGAGAATAGTCAACATTGCTTTGTGAATTAGTTCATGTTGTTATGTATTCATGGCTAAAATTGGGATGCAAAAGGAAGTGATTCTCACTAATCGTTCCTAGAAGGTGAAGATACCTTTGAAGAGAATTATTTCTTTCGTCAAATCATTTCGTACATTGGAACTCATTATAGCTGGTTTTGGACCATTTGAGGTCCTTTTTATTTTGTTTTAATTTGAATTAAAACATATTTAATTGAGATAGTTATTTTTAAATCACTCAAAAACCAATAAATGTTTTGAGTATTTTTAAAAAAGAAGAAAAAATTGCTCAAAATCTACTTTTACATTCATAACATGCGCTTAAGTAGGGCATTACAATATTTTGCAAATAAACTCCTAGACTTCTTCAATATTCCCTTTTTTTACCAATAGGACCCTAAATGAGGTCCAATTCTCAACACTCCCTCAAGTTGAGCAAAAGATATCACTAAGCCCATCTTGTAACATAACCTAGGCAAATCTAATGAACTAAGTCCTTTGGCAAAGCAGTCAACCACTTGCTCTGCAGTGACTACATGACTTAGCTCCAGTAGACCGTTATTCACCTTTTCCTTGATCAAGAATCTATCGATCTCCACATGTTTGGTTCTCTATTGTGTTGTACCGGGTTGTTGGCAATGCTGATTACTAACTTGTTGCACCACAACTTCATTTGAGATCCTTAGTTCACCTTGAGCTTGATAACAAGGCTCTCAGCCACATCATCTCGACAACTCCTAAGGACATGACTCTGTACTCTGCCTTTGTTGTTGACCTTGCTACTACAGACTGTTCTTGCTCTTCCAAGAGACCAATTTTCCCCTACGAACATGCAGTATCCTGAGATGGATCTTTTGCCATCTATAACTCACCCAATCAACGTAACAAAAGCCCTCAATATTTGCATGTCCATTTTTTCTGAAGATCAATCCCTTCCCCGGAGCACTCTTCAAGTACCTCGTAATCTGATACTGCATCCATATTACCCTTCCTTGGATCATGCATGCATCAGCTCACCACTCTCACTGCAAAAGAGATGTCGGGTTGAGAGTGATAATGATAGATCAACCGACCCATCAATCTTTGGTACCTCTCACGATTAACCAGTTCTCTTGCCTCTGCATTCAGCTTGGCCTTTTGGTCAATTGCAGAAACTGCAGGTTTGCACACCAGAATGTCTATTTCCGTGAGGAGATCTAATACATACTTGCTCTAGGACAAGACCATCTCCTCAATTTCACGGACTGCTTCGATCCCAAGAAAGTATCTGATTTGTCCAAGATCCTTCAACTCAAATTCATTGCCCAATCTTAACTTTAGTTGGAAAATCTATGTCTTATCATCACCGTGAAAATAATATCATCAACATTTACAAAAAGTATAGTGGTGTGATCTTAATGTTGTAGAAAGGACATCATATACTCTGCATTGATCTGCTGATATCTCATGCCTACCATAGCCTTTCTAAACTTGTCAAAGCAGGCTCGAGGAGACTGATTCAAGCCATACAGTGAATTCTTGAGTCTATAAACCTTGCTCACTGTTTGGACTGTACTTAATCATGGTGATATCTCCATATATAGCTCCTCTAGTAACTCACCATGAAGAAATGCATTCCTTACATCATGTTGGTGCAAACTCCACCCACAATTCACTACCAGAGAAACAAGTATCCTAACTGTGCTCATCTTTGCAACTAATACAAAGTTTCTTTATAGTCAATGTCATATATCTGACTATACTCTTTCTCCGTCACTCGTGCTTTACATCACTCCACATTCCCTTCTGAAGTTTGTTTCATTGTGAAGATCCATTGCACCCAACTGTCTTTTTCCCTATTGGTGGTGACATTATCTCCCATGTTCAATTTTTATCAAGAATCATAAGCTCCTCATGCACAGTAGATTTCCACTTGAGATTCTCCTTAGCAACATGTCAACACTTTAAGTATAGAGACAGTGCCCAAGATGCAATGAATGCTCCATATAAAGATGATATGTTGAATATGAAAAAAAATTAGCAATGTCATGCTCCCACCCAAAACAATCGGGAGGATGTCACACATTTTTGCAAGAGATCCTCCTTAAAGTTGGGGGTTAAGAGAAGAAAGAGTTATCATATCATTCATCCAAGACTTTTGAGTCGGAGGTGGATGTTGTAGGTATCTCAAGAGTCGAGAAAGGCCATCACAAGGGACAAACTGGAACAAGTGGCACTGCAGGCACCGTTCACTCATTTTGCTTCCTTCTCCGCGTTTACACTCTTACCTCACCTTCAGCATGAATTCCACCACCTCTGGTTCACTCTCATTTTTCAGTTCCTTAACCGATTCATCCCAAATCATAGGATAAGATATTGCTCCCACGTGTACCACTTTCTTAAAATTGCTACTCATCCCCCTTGCCTCATATCTCCAAAATCTAAACAGTCACCAAAGAGTGAAGTCACTTCTTGGGTGTACTATGATTCAAATTCTCTAAATGACTCATTCATGCTCACAAACAGTCTCTTCTTTATTGGGCTTCAACAGACATATCCATTCTGGGTAGCAAAATAACCTACAAACACACAGTTCATAGCTTTGGGATCCAGCTTCTCTATTGATGACTTGTTATCCTTTACAAAACATACACATCCAAATATCTTCAATGGGAGGATTCCGCTATTTCTTCTTTCAACATATGATAAGGAGGGTTTCATTCCAACACCCTTGAAAGTCATCATGTCCATCAATTGAGCAACAACAAAACTGCTTGTCCCCATAAGTGCTTTGAACATTTATAATGATCATCATGCTTCATGCTACCTCTAGAAAGTGTCTATTCTTCCTCCATGCTACACCATTTTGTGTTAGTGTGTATGGACATATATTTTGATGTTGTAACCATTGGTTTGACAAGTACTTCCCAAATGCTTTGTTGGTATGTTTTGTTTCATTATCAGATCTCAATATATTCATCTCAAGCTGAATCTGGAACACATTCATGTTGTTCTCAATCCCAGCATAAGTTTTGCCCAGATGACCCTCACCTTTCAAATATCATCTACTATCTACTAAGGATGCAATGGAACCATCGAGTTGAGTAGCTAGGTGTAGATTAAGATGTGTGAGGTTCTTCGCTTATCCCCATTAGCACTGTCACTCTTTGGTTCATCCCTGGTCGGATATCCCTCTAGTCTCATCCCTAATAGAGCTATATCGACCCGACGCGACCAATTCTGATATGTGGCCGATCCATCAAGCTTTAGAACCACAGGAAGGAGATCTAACTTTACCTGGGTTGAAGCACATGCTAAGGTAGTGGCTCCCGTCGAGACGCTATCTCCTTGCATTAGCATGACCAAGACCTTCAGAACTTCAGGATCTAGCTTTCCTAGAAGCTCCAATCATTTGCCTTCTACACTATCTTATTCTCCTGACATCCTCGAACACAAGAATCTAAGTCTAGATCACACACAAATTTGATCCTTCGCCTTTGTACACTGCAATCATGTTGTGGTCTCTAGAAACCACAGTCTGTACAATGTGATAAAGTCGTGCTCTCTAGAAGCCGCTATTTGTATGCTGCGATCACGTCGTGATCTTTGGAAGCCTCCATTGTCACTGTGATCCCATATAGCGACCTCGCTTCTCACTGGTTCAGGGTAGGAGCCGTGATCCTGTGTCACGATCATCACTGCGATCCCATGCCTTCATAGTTAGTGTGACCGTATCAAGTGGGTTTTCATCCCAGTTAACTCTAACCATGGCCGTAACATCGTGTGACACCATGATCCAGTAGTTGCCTTCCTAGATAGTGCGACTGTATCGTGAGGAAGAAACAGAAGAGGTAAGTTGGAGTTCCGAGTCTCTGCACGCCAATCCCAATAGATAAGTACAAATATGTTGACCTCATTTTTTTGAGGTCTTTTCTTCTCC